ATCCGACCTGGGATACAACATATGCACTTCTATATCTATCTTCTCTCTTAATGATTGAATACTCAACTAAAGTAAAGAGTTCTTTGGAATTTCTTGATTATCGGGGTATATCGGGAAGTGGGGAACAAGTTCTAGTACACCTAAAATTGAACCATTTAAAAGGTTATCTGTAGATCTCGCTGCTGAATTTAAGTGGACAACAATATCATTGGCCGTCGTCAGCTAAATGGTCCATTTTGGATTATAATCACAATGTCTTGTCATTTATTATCTGTCCAATTTGTCAATATCCTTTGTGTTTAAGTGGATCATAATATCGGTGATTGACCAGATCTAGACATGCAGGTGTGTGCTGATAAACGATATTGAATTGCTTGACAACTTTGATCCCAAAAGTCTTTGTTTTTTGTTAAATTTGTTCATAGTTTTCCTCTATGCACAAATTTAGGGGGAGAATTAAAAAAAATTTAAAAAAAATCAAACAAAAATCAGAAAATTAAAAAATTCCAAAAATATGTTTTGTTTCACTATTTTACTTTTGGTTTTTACTTCTTAGTGATTTCTATTGTGTGCTAAGTCTTCTTTTAGTTTTGTTTTTATCTCAAAATTTTCTTTGTCTTGAAAAGCGAATTCAAAATCAGAGAACTCAAAGGAAGAAGAGACTCAAGGAGACTGTATCGGAACTTTCTGAGCCAATGTTACATCCTTAAACAACTGTGGTGAGAAGAGTTTTTCATAACTCTGTGATCCACAGGGACTTTCTAGTCAATGGTTACTTTTCAAGGCGCAACGATGATCGTTAAAGAATTCTCATTCGAAGGAACAAGAAATGAAGATTATTTTTCAACCACACATTCTTTCAACCTTAGAAGCAAGGTGAAGCTGTATTTGAAGATTATGTGACAGATTGTATTGAAGCCTCCTCAATCAATTTGCTGCTATCTATGTACATGCTGATGTGATCCAGAAGAATCGGTCTCTCTGTTATTCTCTCTGAAGATTCTCAAGCTGAAAGTGCTGATTTTCAAGAATCCTTACAAGAAGCCTCCACACCCAACGTATGTTCAAAGTCAAATTTTTGAAGAAAAGCCCAACTGTTCAAGATGAAGTCATTCATATAGAAGATTCATATGTTAATCTTGAAGTTGTGAAGAAATTGAAGATAAACGTTGAAGCCAAGCACAAATTGAAGATTGAAAGGAAAAGCAAGCTACAAATCCAAGGGGAGTTTGTTAGGTCATAAGAAAAGAAAGCTATAAACCAAGGGGGAGACTGTTGGGTTTAATTTATGGTTTATACTTTGCTTTTCTAGGCATTGTAGTTTTCAGTCTAGGGCCGAAAACAATATTGGGTTTAATTGTAGTTTGGACCGAAATCACATGTGATTTCGGTCAAGTTATTGGGTTTTCGGTTTGGACTTTGTGCTTTGGGTCCATACATATAAATAGTGTCATTTAGGAGTGTTTAGGGAGAGGACTAAGGGAGGAGAAAACGTTCAAGGGGCTGCCATTGTTATACTTGGTGTTCTAGAGAGAGAAAGTAGAGAGAACTTGTGTGTGTTTGTGTGAATCTTGTGTACCGGATCATCATTCAATATCATTGTGTGCATTGAAGATTCATCTTGCTCTTCTTCTTCTTCTTCTTCTTCTTCTTCTCTATTCTATCTTGCATCATCCACTTGATTGGGATTCCGCACCATCAGGTGGATCGGATTGATACATCAAAGCGATTTAGGGACTTACAGAATATAACAAGCAATAAAGTTTTCTTACCTAAAATATTTTTTTACGTCATCTTTCGTCACGTGTTATATTCATATATGAATAAAACGTGCATTAACAATCGGCATATGTTATATTCATATATAATAAAATATTTATCAGATTTTTGTTACTATTAATTTGTTATTCATATATGACTAAGTAGTACGTTAGTAACAGATGAAATGTTTTGAAATTTTGAACTAATTATTCATATATAAATAACAAATGAAACTTTAACAAAGTTCTGATAAATATGTTATTCACATATGAATATAACTCCTGAAAAGAGCTAATATAAATTTCATTCATATATGAATGATAGTTAAACCGTAAAAAAATTAAGTATATTTTTTATTCATAAGTGATTAATTAATGTATTGTAATAAAATCTGATACATTTTTATTCATTTATTCTATAACGAGAACTGAAACTATAAAAAAAAAATAAAAAGTTTATTTTATCTTAGAACTATATCAATATTGATGTCTATTTATAGAGAATAAAAATTATGAATTTTGATATATTTAAAATAGTTTTTCGATAAAAATAGCTCCTTAAAAATAAATAAAATAAAATAAAAACTATGTTTTTATATATATTAATGCAATGATAGCATAGTTTAAGGAAACATGTTTGGTTGGAAAATATATATATGTATTCATTCCCTTTCTACCCGGTAAAAAACGGAGGGTTTTGCGAAAAAAAAAATAAATGATCGATTTAGAAAGAACTCTAGTTGTGATCTCAAAAGATTCATAAAAAAACCGTAAAAATGTTAGTGTCAAGAACATGGCTAGATAGTAACCTATAGTAGCTAATATTTATATTATTCAAATAACAAAGGAAATCGCAATCTTTGTGAATATGGGATAAGTGACTAACAACTGTTTATAATATGGAAATAATAACAAGATGGTGGACACCAATGTTTTAAAAACCGGTTTGAACCGGCTGGTCGAACCGGTTGGATTGGAAACTGAAGAAATGAGCGGTTCAACTAGCATCGGTTTTTGCCTATTTCTGAACCGAAATGAACCGGCTGGTTTTTACAAAAACTGGTTGAACCGGTTATATTAAATCTGTTGAACCGATTAAATTAAATAAAAATACATGCAAATGAATCATGTTTATACCAAACTTTAGTTTTTTTCACATCTTTTTAGCTTTCTTTGAATAAAAACACATGGTAAATATTATAAAGTTTTTAATGCGTTTGTATTCACCTAAAACTATATTTTGTTTTTGTATTATACTTTATTTTATTTTTGATGTACGTTGATTGATGTAGAATGTGTTTTTAAAGTATTTTGATTGCTCTTCAACTTCTATTTATGTGCATTTATAATGTTTAGACTTGCAGATGTCTACATATGGGTAGGAAAATAGGAAAAAAGATGAAAATTATAGAAACCGGTTAAACTGACGGTCGAACCGGAAACCGATCAACATACCAGTTCGGCAGTTCAACTTAAAAACATGTTTTAAAACATTGGTGGACACTGGCTAAACATCATCCTACATTGCTTGAGGGATAAATGAATTAGAAGAAAGGAAGTTATAAAATAAAGATGACTAACAAGTTGCTGACATATTTGCATCCAATCGCATATCTATTTTGTGATTATATTGGAGGGTACTCATTATAAATTATGAGGTTTTTAAATAGACAATTATAAAAAATTTCATCACTTTTGGCTTGAAATAGTTTGAAAGTTTTTAGGAAGTGGGTACCCGGAAGCCGAACCGGTTCCGGTGGTTCCGGGAGCAGTTCCAAAGTTTTAAGAACCGATGTAACTGGTTCCGGTTTCGGTTCCAACATCCTAGGAACCGTCGGTTCCAGTTCCACTTAATTTGGCAGGATACTCGCTAATGATCATCCCTAGATAAAACTTGTCTTAGTAAAATATGTAGGGGATCGGATGGTTTGGGAATCTAGGTGTCATGCCAACCGTTGCTTTTCCACATTTTCCCTCTTCTCTTTCCCAAAATCATGTGAACCTCCGGTGCTCCTTTCCGGTGTTTCTTCTTCTCCTTATTTTCCAGTGTTTCTCTCCTTCGTCTCTATCTTTTCAGCCTAAAACCTCTCTACTCAGACAAAATCCATCTTATATTCAACGGTCTTCTACGAAATTAGTTTGAAAGACTTTGTTGTTCGAAATTGGTCTTAAGGAGGAGACGAGGAATTTTTTGGAAATGGGTCTGAAGAAATTAATAGAGTAACTATTTCTAACTCCTTTTCCAAATGGGTCTCTAATTTCAAACTACATCACCAAATGTAAACGGATGGGGAGATGAGGAATTCGATGTTCCAAATGTCTTAAAAGAATAGATAGGTTTGTGTGCAAATCAATCAAAGCTTCTAATTTCTTTTGTCTTGGTATGTTTACTAGGTTGCTGACCATTGATCATTAGTTTTGCCTTTTTTGTCAGACAAATTTTGATTAATTTTCTTTTGTTATTTCTCACAATTTTTTAATTATTTTAATTGTTTTTTAATTCTTGCGCATTATTAGTTTCTGTGGGTTTTTTTTCTTTTTTTAATTTTGTATAAAAATTTGTCCATTTTGTAGTGGTTTGATTGTAATTGGATGGCAATTGTTATTTTGATTTAATTGAAATATAAGGATAAAATTGTCGTTTGTTTACTCAAACCGAAAAGAAAACCTATATTTTCTATACAATACTCTATTTATACAACTATCATTTGTCCGTGACTATTTATACATAACGTAATCATTAAAAAGAAAGTATAAAAAGACCCCTCAATCAACTTTGAATTGATGCAACGATTATTACAATAGTTTGAATGATTTGGTTATTTTGCAATAATCCTACTTCCAACAAAGATGTTAAGAAAAGAAACATTTTTTTAACGCAATTGTTGCATCTTCTTCTTGGGTTTCATCATATATATAGTAAATTAGATGTTACCAATTTCGTGTAATATGTAAGCTGTGATTTAACTACTAGGTAGTTTTTGATTGATAATATTATGTTAGATTAAAAAAAAAAAAAAAAAAAAAAAAAAAAAAAAACTTTAATATCTACAACCATTATATTGCTAATGGATATTTATTTTAACATCATCTAAACGAAAGAATAAAAAAAAAAAACCCCATCAAATCTCCGGCTACAATACCATTCAGTAAATAATAAAATAAGTAAGATGTTCGCAAATCAAATTGACGAATTTCTATATATATTTATAAATTCGCTTTTTATTTTATTGTATGTTTTCAGTGTACTCTTACAAAGAAAATGCTTAATTCCTGGCCATCGTCAGCACCATCAGGATTAATCATATGAAAAGCTTCAGAATCCTTGCTTCCAGCCACTCTTTCAAACCTTGCCCTCATATACGTCAACTCTCCATCAACCGCATAATCTTTTTCCGATAAGCCTGGAAGAACTCCAGCACCCATGGATACACCCCTTAAGGATTGCATAACATGGAGCTCATCATCCGTCATCTGTGTCCTCCTTATTGAATATCCATATTTCCTCCCGTTACAATAAACCGCCCACACAAACTCCTCCAACACCTTCTTCTTGCGACTTGTTGTCTCACTTTCTAGAGATAACCTCACCATATCTGACGCCATTTCCTTCTGGAATGCAACCGAGTGCATTGGGAGCTCAATGACAAACACTGGGAGGCGATGTGGATCCTCTTGAATGGCCAAACTGACTCGCCCTCTCCTGTAGCCAAATAACGTCCCAGTGGTGGCGTTATCTGTTAGTAGTTTCCGTGGCTTCCCTAGCAGTGCCACCATCTTGCAACCGGAGGTCAACATGGGAAGAAGCTTGAACATACGAAAGATCCCTCCTCCTGTCTTGGAGGGTTTTCTGCTACGAGTGGTGTTTTGTAGCAATGATAATAGGGATGCGTTTTCCATTTTGTGAAACGGGGTTGAGTAAACTGAAGGCATATTATGAGTTAAATATGATGAAGAGGGAGGGAGGATGGTTAGAAATATATAGAGAAAACGTTAGTCGTATATATAGAATCTTGATTAGTGTTACCATATCATTGCATTGTTACTATTGTTATTATTTGATGTACTTACACATAATTAATAGATATCCTAACTAACTTCAGTTGTGTTTAGGATGTTGTAAAGTTGTAAAGAAAGGAAAAGAATGAAGGTGATGGATCACATGCAATTAAGGGATGATTTTAAGATTGATGTGATAGACGAATTGAAGTTTATAGTGGTAACGAGAAAAAAGGAAATAAGATGGGACCAAACCAAGCGTAAGAAAGAGATAAAGGGGGGTGGGGTGTGACCACAACTTTGTGCTAAAAACTGGCCCTGCCGCTGAGTTATGGAATTAAAGTGCATCTTTGCATGTGATATTAATCATAAGTAAGGTTCTAAAAATTTGGTTGTCGTTTCTTTGTTTCTTTTATGGCACGTCATGGCTCCAAGGTTTTTATTTGTCGTCAAACATTAAAAAAATGTTGTCTTAAGTCATATATGTATATAAAAATGAATAATAATAGAAAATATATATAAATTAATAATTATATACAAAATTGTCATCTTAAGTCACGTCTTACAAACGACGTGACTACACACGGCTCTAAAAAGCTTGAGTCTTAACATTGCCGCCAAGTCACACCTAACGTTATTTAAAACCTTGATTATACGTAAATACATATTTATATTTAACCATTTTCGTTATATGGATATTGACATACAAAGACGACAATCATATATAACTAAATACATACATATACATATAAATAACTTCAAGTTAGGCATGAGCTTTAAAACCGAAATAACCGGAATCAGAGTGGAACCGGGCCGGATTTACTATAAAGGTTCGGTTATCGGTTCTTCACATTAAGAAAATTCAATCCCAGTTCTAACACTCGTTCGATCCTACAAAACCCGGTTAAAAAATCGGAACCAGACCGGAAAATTTAGAGTAAAAAGTCCATGCAAATCGTTTTTATGAAAACATTAGTTGTCCCGTTTTCTAAAATACACATAAGTGATTCATATGAAGTCGGAACTACTTGATTTTTTTTCATACATGTAATTTGGCGATTGTACTTTATTTTAGTATCTAAAAAGTAATATTTTTGTTAAATTTTGAATTAGATACAAGCCCCGAAAGATAGCATATCGATGATGCGGTTTTTTTTTTGTTTCAACATTTTTTTATTATGTCCCTACGTATAAATCAATCATATGAAGTCAAAGTTACTTGATTTCTTTTCCAGCATGTAATTTGGTGTTTGTATTTTATTTTAGACTGTAAAAGACATATTTTGTTTAACTACAGAATCAGCTACGGGCCTCAAAAGACAACGTATCAATGCTATAATTTTTTCTGTTTCAGCACAATTTTTATTTTTATTTTTTATTTTGTCCCACTTTTTTTTTATCATTTTTATATATGAAAGTTTAATTTTATTTTTTTATTTTGTGAATACTTAGTTCTTCAATATGTGGTGGTTGAAAGCCCATTCCTATTTTTAGTTCCATTTTGAAAGTGTATTGCCATTTTTGCTCCAATTTGAAAGTGTGTTGCTAGTCTTGGTAATACAACTATTGGTTCCACTTTGAAAGTGCATTACTAGTCTTGGTTCCATTTTGAAAATGCATTGTTATTCATGGTTACAAAACCGGATCCATTTTGATAGAGAATTGTTGTTAATAGTGCAAATTACAAAAATCATTTATATTCTGAAAAATAATCGAAAAACAGCTACTTGCACCAACGATCCGGTTCACTGTTCATGTAATCTGTTGAATTCGGTTCCGGTTTCAAACCGATTCAATTCCAAGGATCATCTGGAACTATATTAATTAGTTAGTTTTACAAATCCTTGTAAATTATTACTAGAGTGAGAAAATTTAGAAATAATATATCACTTGAAAAGTGTAAAAATTAAAAGGTATAATAGATTTTCAGCCGCCCATAATGTTTTTCCGCTTTGTGAGGATAGGGTATTGGGTTCTCCATTTGGTGATCCGCTAAAACAATGAAGCATAACCTCTCCCGGCCAACTCTTAATTGAAAAATCTAGGACTTGAACACTTGAACAACCTCATATATGGAGAGTACATTGCCTTTGTCGATAGGCCAGCAGAAAATTGGTTTAAAAGAATAAAAAAAATAAGTATTGCTACACTAACAGACACTTGGAATTATGAATAGGATGTCAGGGGTTCGTAAAGAATGGCCTGAATTTTTTTGCAAGTCATACAATTCAGCTCAAGGTTAAACCCGTAATCGCACTATAAGCCCGGAGTAAATTTGCATCAGGTTTTCAATTTCACATTTTTGCTAGTCTTACTTTTTGTTATGAATTTAACCCCAAACCCTTTTTACAAAATTTTGAAATTTTGCAAACATGGTTTTATATTTTGGGTTCAAAGCTCTTTTTATAAATCTTTTTCGACTTACTTTATCAAATGGATTTTTATATGTTTTTTTAAGACAGTTTATTTTGAAAATTAGTTTTTATAATTTTATTTACATCTTTTTTTACAACTAAAATTGTGCATATCTTAATTTAGTTTTTTAATTTTTCAAAATTACTACTTCTTAGTTTGTGTATGTACCTTTTAAGATTTTTCTACTCATAGAAATTTGTTTTACTTTTAAAAAATTTACTTGTTAATTTATTTTAAAAATTCATATATATGAACCTAAGGTTGTAAAAAATAATTTTTTTATATACTCGG